AGAAAAACAGAATATAAAAAAGAAAAACAGAATATAAAAAAGAAAAATACCGTGCGAATAACAACCATACAAAGAAAAAATTTCCTTTCAAAAGGCAAAAATAACTAAGACAGATCGCTTATCGAAGGCTCGATTATCTTGGAGAACGTTTATAGTCTGCGAAAGATTTTTCACTTTACGTATTTTGTATTAGTATAATGAGGCGTAAGAATGCATTGAGTTCCATATTTCAATTCCAACAAAGCTTCGCTAACAAGGTTTTTTCATTGAACAAATATTTGTTTTCTTTTATTTTATCAAAATGTAGGATGAACAAAATCAAGTAATGACAACAAATGTTCAAGTGACATTAAAATGGCAAGACGAACATTTACGATGGTCGCCAAGTGAATATAATGATCAAAATCGTACCGTTTTTTCTGCACTTGAAATTTGGACACCTGACATTGTTCTGTTCAATTCAGCTGATGTTGCTTATTCTCAACGACGTGAACATTATTTATTAACTGTTCATTCGAATGGTACAGTTGAATGGGTCTATCCTGATGTATTTCGATCTTATTGTGATGTTGTTATAACATATTTTCCATTCGGTAATTATTTCATATTTAATAGGTTCATTTCAATTTTATTTTTATTTATAAGATAAACAAAATTGTACACTTGAAATTCAATCATGGTCACGTCCATCTGATGAATTATTAGTTCGACATCAACCACAAAATGTTCGTCAACAAAGTCAATATATTCGCACAGAATGGCAAGTTTATGAAATAGTTGTACGCAATGCTACAATGAATCGTTATTTATGGCTTGTATTTCATATAAATATGAAACGTAATTATCAATTCTATGTTAATCATATGATATTTCCATTTTCAATCTTATCTTGCTTAACATTATTTGTCTTTTGGCTTCCACCAGATTCGGGTGAAAAAATTACTTTAACCATTACAATTCTTCTTGCTTTGACAGTTTTTCTTCAACTTATTTCCGATTATACACCAAAAGCTTCTTCGAATCTTCCGATTATTGGTAATTGATTTATTTTAAAAGAGTTTGTAGTTAAGTGGATGTAAGTGTAAAATGAAGTTGAAGATAACACTAAATTTTATACTGATACTTTGATTTATTTATCGATAATATGTGTATCATCCGAAGCATATAATTTGTTCTCTCTTACAAGAAGCATTTCATTCAGTTTGTTAACAGAAATAAATAACGAGGGTGCCATCATAGGTGACACCAGGCGTTTGTGATAGGATCTTAGTCATTTGGTAAGACCTATTGAAACAGGAAAAAACCTAGAAGGATTCTTCTTCATGCGCTGCCGTTTTGGAGGCATGACAGTTAAACTGGATTTTTTAGTTTTTTGCACGGTATTTATAAATAAACCAGACACACGAATTCAGCTTTGCAACTTTATTCATAAGCAGCTATTAAAACCATTAGAGTTTCCTGATAGTTTCGACCAAAAAAGAATGGTCTCTTCTCGATGTATCAAATACACAGCCAAACTCGATTTTCGTCAGTTTTTAGTAGAATATCATGGTTTTTTGTGGAGTCGATATCTCAAAAACAGATCATTTTTTGTTCGGTGTAATTTTTAAAGAATTTTAATGAGCTCAAGAGCTGTTTACCAACAAAGTTTTAGAGCTAAACTCGTGTGTTTTGTTTTTGTATGAATACCATGCCAAAAGTAAAAAATTCAAGGTAATGATCGTAACTCTACAAAAGTAGCACATGGGCAAGAGTTTCTATAAACCTCTTCTATTTTCAACAGACTCTATGTCATGATTATGGTTCTATCTCAAATGCAAGATATCATCTCGAGTGATTCTCTTTTAAGAGACTTCCTTTATATGTCTGAGTAAGTTACATTATGAAGGAAAACAATTTAGAGCATTAGAAGGACTGAAACTTTGAAGACAATAAATCATACTAATGATTGTAATGTCTTTTAGGTATATATTTTAATGTCAATTTAATATTGGTGCTTATATCTGTCGTTCTTACAGTTGTCGTACTTAATTTTCATTATCGTGGACCGAAAAAATCACGTGTACCTCGTTGGTGTCGTCGTATAGTAATGGGTAAAATCGGTCATTGGCTTGGTTTTCATTTTATTAGTCATGAGCAATTGCTTTCTCCATCAACTTCTACTAAATCTTTTGCACGACGTGCTACTCATCGAGATAATTCAAATGGTGACATTAGTCGAATTGATAAACATAGTAAAGTCAAATTACCTCTTCTTTCAAAAACAACAACAACCACAACAACAGCAAAAACAGCTATTGATGATCATGAGAAAGATGACGTGACTCCTACATCAATTCAACAACATTCATTAACACATAATATTGAACAAATATTACTTAAAATGCAAACACAATTTGATCCAAATACAATTGATGATGAACAGTTAAAAGTTTCTATATTACGTGAAATACTTGAATGTCAGCGTTTACTTTTAGCCATACATGCAAGGAAACAAAATATTCATTCACAATTATTATATGATATATATGAAGAATGGAAAATTTTAGCTATTATTGTTGATCGACTTTGTTTTATATTTTATCTTATTAGTATGCTTGCTGCATCAATTATTTTCTTTGTACGAGAACCAATTTTGAGACGAAATGGATAATATTTTAATTATTATATTTGTTTATGCATGTGTATCAGTCTTTTTCTTTGCTTTCCATAAATTGAACTACATTTTTTGAGTGTTTGAAAATTATGAAATATGAAGATGCTCTTTTGAGTCTTATAGAGAAGTTATTTTGAAGATTTAGAATGATTTGTACTATAAACAAAGAAGAATGCATTATGTAGAGATGCCAAAAAATGTTGAAGATTAAAAATATCTAAAGACAGTGTTACACAAATAGTCTTTGAATGACATGTGTTTGAATGACAATGACGAACAATTTTCTTAATATTAAGGTCCCACTAATTCGAGGTTTGAGAAAAAACCTTTTTTTAACAGACTTTTTGCAGTATAATCGAGCCTATGTAATTGCCTTCAAAAAATTTTGTTTTGGGGGAGATTCCATCGTATGTATGGCACGTTTACATCAACTTCCTCCAAATCGAATTTTAACACAATATTCTTGTAGAGTATAGTCGATAACCTCACTTTGGTGATAAAAGATCCTCTCTATCTCGCTTCCGAAAAATCATGAAAAATACATCTGAAAATCGATCAAGTTGAAAGCAATTGTATTCTTTTAAGGATATCAATTCCATGTTAAGAGTGAGTGATCGATATTTTTATATCAGCGAATAGAGTATGAAAAACTGATTCTGAAATATGTTTCCTATGCTTCATTTGCTGTATTATAAGCGAACACTGTAACTCGAAAAAATACGAAAAGTTACGAGAATGTTCATAGATATATTTCATCAACGCAGAATTTAGGCACATGGTGGCATATAAGGTTTTGTAGAGCGTCACTTATTCTACAATGCTGCAGAGTTAACTTTTTACAGGACTTGAAAAGAGACATCCAATTCTCACGAAAAAGGTAAAAATATGACGGAAAACAGTGAAAACGACAGTTTTTGACGAAAAATGACATATTTTTACCTTTTTTGTGAGAATTGGATGTCTCTTTTCAAGTCCTGTAAAAAGTTAACTCTGCAGCATTGTAGAATAAGTGACGCTCTACAAAACCTTATATGCCACCATGTGCCTAAATTCTGCGTTGATGAAATATATCTATGAACATTCTCGTAACTTTTCGTATTTTTTCGAGTTACAGTGTTCGCTTATAATACAGCAAATGAAGCATAGGAAACATATTTCAGAATCAGTTTTTCATACTCTATTCGCTGATATAAAAATATCGATCACTCACTCTTAACATGGAATTGATATCCTTAAAAGAATACAATTGCTTTCAACTTGATCGATTTTCAGATGTATTTTTCATGATTTTTCGGAAGCGAGATAGAGAGGATCTTTTATCACCAAAGTGAGGTTATCGACTATACTCTACAAGAATATTGTGTTAAAACTCGATTTGGAGGAAGTCGATGTAAACGTGCCATATATACGGTGGAATTACCCTTTGACATATTTGAGTAATGGTTTTGTAGCGAAAATTAGAAAAATTACATTATAAAATAATCAGAAAAGCCTATAAACACTGGAATACTTCAAAAACATCCTGTGTTGCTTTATTAAATACTCATTCAGTGTGTTTTTGTTTTACTCCTCATACAATTAGGAAAAATCTCGGTATTCTTTTGAAAAACATTATTTGGTTGCTGAGAAAATCGAATTTTTTGGTATGATGGAAGAATTCAATAAATACGGGTTCGTATGTAGAGATTTTGATCATAAGAACTTCAATTTCATATGAAACCAACATTACATTCAGAATCAGCAAAACAAATCTGCATCGAATACTAGATTCAAGATTTGAAATAAGTGTCCATCATATTTCAATCGTAGAAGAACCACAGGTCAGATTATTTGAAAAAAGCCGCAAGTAATGGAAGGAAAGTAATTTGACCAAAGCTTGTTAAAATCATTCAATATACTATTCCGTGTAGATGTTCTTTTTTTATTGATTCTTAATATCATGCTGGTTTTATTTGAGAATAAATTTCTTATCGTTCAAGTCTTTGATTACGAACCTGCATTTATACTGTTCGTCATCATACAGAAAATATCGGTTTTCTCAGGAGTGAAACGATATTTTTCAAAAAGCACACATAGAATTTTTCCTCACCGTATAATGAGTAAAACGGAAAAAGGCAGATCGGGTAAATATCGACCCTAGCTGAACCTAATGCTTTGACACATTCAAGTTTAATAGGCTTTTTTGATTTTTTCAAATGTAGTTTTCTTCATTTTCGCTACAAAAGCATTGTTCGAATCTCACGTAAAAAAATTAGACGAATAATCAGATTAAAGTTGATTAAAAAAGGATTAAAAATCGATTAAAGGTGTATAAGTAAAATCGATTGTAATCTAATTATTCGTCTAATTCTTTTATACATGGGATATTTCCAAAAGCAATATCTTTAGCCGTAACTCCACGAGTTCTATCAAAAAAGTCTGCTTGACTTACTAGCATTTTATAATTGTCCCAATTTAACTCAACAGTTCTTTTCATTCATCAGATAAGATACCCAATATTTTTCTTTCGATCTTTAGTTATTTTTCTCTTCACTTTATCTACCTATTTCTTTATCCTCTCATCATAATGCCAGTAATGAGTTTATTATCATTTTTCTAAAACTTGCGATCAATTATAATAATAATGATGAATCTGAAAGCACAAAATTGAGTGAATACAAGGTGTTTTTGCTCAAAAACTCCTATCACATATATGTAAATAATTTATTATGATCGTCAAATATAAATAAAAAAAATTCATAAGAGGGGAAAATCGCTTAGTTTATATTGCACATTGTACACAAAACGCTACTTTTTTCTAATGATATAATCTTACACTTTATTTGCTGTCTAAGATGAATATATCATAAGAGGCCACACGTTCCATACTGTCTCGCTAAATATAATATGTTCAAAAATAAACGAGCTATGACAATCAAAACTAACCTGAGGATATCAAATTATCTCCTACTGTATGATTCACTTTGTTGCATTGACAATTAATCTTTTAATTCATTACTGACAAAATACACTGAAACCAACATCTATGTACACCCTAAATCGGTCAAGACATTCCTGAGTTACATGTGCCTTAACGAAAACTAGATTCAATCAATGGACAACGACTTTTATTGAGAAAACCATATCTCAACCATTTCAGTATAATCTACTACGAAATTTGTACTGAAAATAGTTTCAATGGTTAGCGTTGAATGAAAAGTTCCGCAAAAAAATGTACCAAAACGGTTCAGTAGTATTCAAGTTTCCAAAAAGGGAAGTTTCGGGAATACCGAAAATTTCAAGCATTTGTGCTCTAAATCATTTAGTACTTCCTAAACTAATGTAATTTTTGCAACTATCTGAATTTCTAAAATTACTAAAATCTTCAATGTTTCTAAAAACTTTTGAGTTACACTGCGATGTGACTATCGAGCTTATGAAATTTTTGTAGATTTGAGTGATTTCCTTTTTTGAAAATGTGAACATGCCTCGAACGCTTGAGACATATTCATCAAAAGGTAAAGACTATGTTCTATTATAACTCCATTGTAGAGCAATCAATTGAGATCCGGTCAATGCTTGCAATCAAGGTTAGTCATCACTCACATGTATCCAAAATATCAACTCAATATTTATAATATTAATTTCACTTTGGGGCGGGAGGGATTACTGTTGTCCAGAACTGTAAAATGGCCAGTCATCAATTCATAAATAATTCGAAGAATGCAAATCGAGTCATAAAAGTCTTGACTAATCTTTGTGTTGTACCGAGTGTCAAGACTCTTCATGTAAATCTTGATTGGTGCTCTTAAGTGTGACTGTTCCTCCAACACAAACTGCGCGTTCGAGATGAGTCAGATTATGCACATAACCTGTGATCGTCTAATCGAGCACCTTCATTTGAACACGCTATTCGTTTTCTTATCATGATTCTGTCCCTGAAAAGTTGATTTTCAATACTTTATGAAACAAAAGCAAATGGTTTCGATTTGTGTTTCAAGCAGAATACCTGGTAATTTTTGTCCAGACATGGATTCGTGTTTTCCATTATAGAACTAGATCTGCATGAGATTTAGAATAATGTTTGGTTATCTTCCGTTTATAAACACAGAGACAGCTCTTTGGATTGTTTCTTGTGTTTTATGTGTATGAATCGAACACTCATTTGACGAGAAATAATACTCAACTCTCAAGTATAGCCGAACTCTGCATTATCTTCTCATTTAGTCACTTTACTTTGTTGATGTCCTAGTACATTAGGATTTAATTTCTCGTAGTTAATCGAAATGAACAGATCTACTAATTTCAAAAGTCTATTAAACTCACTTAAAAAAGGAACGTTCACAATAGAATCACATTGAAAGACATAACTAAAAAAACGAGAAATCGAGTCAGTCTTTGTTGAGAAAGTGATCTGAATGCATCGGACAGCATGGTATTTCATTATGTCTGAGGACGTGCTGGATATTTGTTGGGTTCATATACTTTAAACAAAGCATAGATTGTCGTCAACGTGTTGTACTCCAACTTATAGATTGAGCAGTTCCTCATTAATTGCTTTTTCTTGATCCTTGTTCAAAATAAATCTAGGAATTTTCTAGAAGCTTCCAGTATGCTCGATGAGTCTGCTGAGGTACAATAGACTTGAGGGTAGTGCATTCTGTTGATCGTCGATGGCCTCTTTTATATGTTCCATACCAACTTTCATGTTAACTCTCATCATCTCCAATACATCTAGTTCTTTTCTGAAATGTAACATTGCTTTTTGACGACTCCACTTCTGATTTAATTCATTCATGAGTTTATATCATCCAACATCGAACAGACCAACTTCATCAGCCTACAAAAGAGCTAGACCGACAGTAGTCGTCGCAGTAATTATGACCATCGAATATCTTTTGCTAAATATTAGTATCCCAGAAGCAGAAATAAGGCCAGGTGTGGTCACATTTCCAAAGGTTCTAAGAATGGACATGATTTAATCTAGAAGTGGGATATCATGCAATAATACTATCATT